TAAAAATCAAATTAAAATTAACTAAAATATTTGAAGTTTGGATTTTATATATTTTCTGAGCTTGGAAATCAATTAAAAATAAATTGTGTTTAATTATTGATAATTGTACGAATTAAGAGTTACATTATAATGTAACTTTCGACAATTCAAAGCAACATAACATAGAGTTTGGTGCTGAGGTTTCTGAAGTTTTAATTATTTATTTGCCATTTAAAAAAAAATGGTATATTGACCGAACTAAATATTTAAAATTAGACGTGACGGAAAAAAATTACAAATATATTGATATTTTAAAGTAAAATCCAGATTGATTTTGTTTTAAGTTGAATTTTATTTTTTTAATATTGTATTCGATTAAACGGTATTCCAAGAATTTTCGTTTAACAAAGTTTAAATACCGCAAACACTCACAATTGTTGGCTTTCAGTTATCTATCTCGTAAAACTATTTTTACTTAATACTTAGAGAAACAAAATGTTCCGTCGAGTAATATTTTATTTTTACGTTTATAATACGAAACAAAAATAACATCAATTGCGTTCCGTCACATTTCTGTGTACTATATTTATTAGTGTTTTTTTTTTTTTTTAATGGCTTTTGGTGCTTTGAGATCACCGATCTCTAAATACCGCAATTAGGGATATTACCATAACCAAACCAAATTATTGTCAATTAAACAGATGATTTACAATCGTTTGTGTTCGCGCAGTTATCATAGGACGAAAAATCATTGAGAAATAAATATCTTGGTGTTCGTTGGTGACTATAATAGTATAAATAAATAGTGTAAATAAAATGAGTCAAACCAGCCGGAAAATCATAGAGAAAAACGTCGAAATAGGCCTAAAGGCTAAAAAAAAAATGAAAACGGTTTTAAATTGCATACATTTTGTAATCGGCGGATTAACACGACGTAAATTTCCACAGAGCCCTGGCTGATTATACGCGGAGCCAAAAAAATAAGCAAACGTTCCAAGTCCCGAACCTATTGGTGCGCTCGTTTTATACATGATACATAATTAATGCAACTAGTTACGGCGCGCGCCGGCGAAGACACGAGACAGTTATAATACGGTATATATGGTGCAGTTGAGAGAATGACGGTGGTGGGGGGTCGACGGTGTAAAGGGAGTAGGGGGGGGGATACGAGAGCGATGTGGGCGAGTGTTGGCGTCGGCGGCAGCGGTAGTGCTGCCGCGGTGGTAGGGGCGGCGGCGGCGGCGGCGGCGGCGGCTGTTCGTATTCGATCCCTCCGCGTTCGCGGAAAAAAAAGGGGGTGGAGTTGGGATGCCGCGGTCCGCCGCCGACGGTACATACGCACAGGAAGGAAGGGATGAGGATTCTGAGAGTGTCGCCCTCAGTGCGCTGCCGGATAGCCCAGGCTTAGCATGTTGATCCCGCTGGATTAGTGGAACGGCTACCCTGCTGCAGTATATACCATCAGGTTAGTGTTTTGCTCTTTTTCGTCTCCCCCCACTATCCCCCTGTTCCCACTCGGCCCGGTTATCCCTTGATTCGAACTCGCGTTCGCTGCGTGTGAGATACCATCGCACTGGTGCGATGTTTAGGTACACGGCGAGCGTCTTGATGCGTGACACCGAAAATTCCGTCCGATGCCATTATTATTATTATTATAAAAATATAATTATTACGGGCTTCTTGGCTCGGAAATAAAAAACGGTTCGTTCGGTTAATTTATAGAGTTCGAAGGTTTTGTAAGTGATTTCGTCCGTTTATATCTTTGGCCCCGGGGAAAACTGGTTCATGTCAATTTTCGGTAATTTTGTATTTATTATTATTTTTTTTTCTTTTTTTCGTAACTGCGTATTATGTAATTATTGTCTCCTTTTGCGTTTTTCGATCTAAACGACATTAGACTTACCATTATATGTTCAAGTCACGTTAAAAGCACATTAGTCATTCTCCAAAACGGTCACTATTTTCTGGCTCTTGGCCTTTCATTATTATTCGTCTTTATATGCCGAGGAAGAATTCGTAATGAGCCGATTTCGTAGCGCCCTTTTAGATATTTACAGGGAGATTAATCGTCGATAGTAAAACGCTCATTATCTCTGCGATTATTGACAATTATTGAAATTTTTTTTTTTTGTTTTGACAATTTAAGAAACATGTAGTTCTAGAATTTCACATCACCGTTATTTTTTTTATCGTCTTTATTTTTGGGTGTGAAACATCAATTGGTTTTAAAATAGCAGTACTATTGAAACCCTAACACAAATTATTATGTTGATATTAATACAGGTTGCGCGTAATAATTTCACGGTTAAAAGCGTCGAAAAAAATAACCGATAATCCAACATTTTAGAGTCTTTTGTTACGCGTTGTCCGCAAAATTTCGAAAAAGAAAAAACACTCTTCGAGATAATGGGCGTCTTATCACCTCTGTATAATATACGTATATATCACGTACAATTATTTATTTATTTTACAATAATCAAAATCGTTTTAAAATCCATTCCGTTCCGGCTCAGTAAAACGCGGTGAACATTTTTTTCGTATTTATTTATTTGTTTTTCAAGTTTAATTATGATTTAGTTGTAATCGATTAGTTTTTTCATTAAACGAACCGAGGAGACAATTTAAAAATACAGTGTATAAGCAACAATTAAAATTCGAACGAGTATATCTCGGTTAAACAATAATACACCAGTTGTATAGTATACAGTGTGTTGCAGTGAAGTGTAAGTGGGATTTATTAGTGTTTTTCTTTCGAGTTGCAAAGCCGACTTAATACCGGCGGATCACCACGCGCCGGTTGATCTCAAACGATTTTTCGTTTTGGCCTATGCGACGTTTTCATGGGTTTTTTTTTTTTTTTCAATAAAATAAATGCGAATTCCGATTCCGTCCGAGCATAAAATTCGCTTAGGTATGTCTGCATTATAATGTTTGTCGATTTTGAGTGTTTGAGTGACGTGGTCCCCTGTCCTCATTTACTTACACTGGGATTGAGTATATCTATAATTAATCTAATATAAATTTTCGGTTCGATATTTTTTACACAGTAAAAACTAATAAACAAAAAAAAAAATAATAATAATAAATAGGTTTTTCTTTTTTGTTTTCAAGTCGATATTGATATATTAGAACAGGGTGATCATACGTCCTGTTTTTTATTATTTTTTTCAAAAAAAAGTGGTTTTATCGATTAATTGATAAAAACATTGTTTATCAGGAATCAGCTTTAGCTTTTTATATCTATGAAATCCTACCATTTAAAAGTTGTAGGTATTATGCTACGACACAGAATTTTGTAATGATTTATCATAATTCTATATTTTTGATATTGTATTGCGTATATAATAACATTATACAATTTGTTGTAATATATAAATTCTATTATATTGTTTCTGGTTTTGACAATCAATACATTTTATTTTACTCATTGCAAAAATAAAGTGTTTTTTATTTTTTTTATTTTAAATATGATTACCCTATATTAGAATGTCTTATATAATACTGAGTGAATATTTTCGAACAATTTGAAAAATTGATAAAAAAAAAAAAAACGTATAGGTAATCTAATCGAAAGCACACGTTAAAATTACGCGATTTTCACGATTTTGTCGAAAATAATATTATAATATTGACTCTGGACACTAGAAAATTTAAATAAATTATACTTATTGATAAGTGCAGTTTGATTAGTGATTTACAGTATTAGTCTACTATAATAGATTGGAACTGAAATGAAAAATTGGTTTGGGAGCAGAGGGGAAATGACGAAATTTATCTTATTATTTTTACATCCATATACATTCATTGAAAGTGTCTATCCGTCGTACTTTTGTCTTTCTGACGGTCGATTGTTTTTTTTTTTTATTAAGTATATCTACGTACTCTTTATGTCTCCATATAACCCACGTTGCATTATAATTTCAATGTAATTCGTATTTATCTACGATATCCTGTACGATTTGTAAATATTGTTTTATGATATTGAAAACGTATATAATAATATAATGTGGGTATATATATGTACACTTATGAATTATTATAATTGCGTAAGTACGCGGCAAAATAGATAAATTTTATATACATATTATTATATACATGTATTATATTCGGGAATAATTTTATAATATTATATAGTATTGCGGCAACGACGACGGCGGTTAACTTCTCGAAACGTTCTGAATCAGTTTAAAAAATAAAAAATTCGAACCGGCTATTACTGAGTATTTTTTTACGAGAAATCAAAAAAAAAAAAAAATCGTTCAGATGCGCAAAACTTTTATTGTAATAGAAACGAGTAAAAATCGAGCACGTTTTTTTTGTCGGAATTTTTATCCGATACGAAAATATTTCGACTAAATGCTATTTTTTTTTCGAAAGATACACACACGCCGGACTTACGCTGCAGGTACGACATAATTAACAATCATTCAATTATAATTACCTATAAAATAAAATACCTATAAATACGTGACCATAATTTTTTTTTAATTCTGAGTGACGAGGAATGATATTATAGTATTATGTTTTGTTTTCACTATTGCGCGTATGGTTTTTTTTTTGTTTTGTGCTTTTTATATTTTTATTTCACCGCAAAAATCGTTACTCGATTTTTTTAAAATTGTTTTTATTTAAATCAGCGGCGAAACGCTTGCGTGCATATAATTTTAATGCCACCATGTACCTACATAATACGAACAAAAGAATCTCTATTGCATGTATTATAATGTTAGTAAGATAACTATACGTTTTTAAGCTGAGCAGCAATTATAAACAAAATTAAAAAAAAAAAAAAAATACTTTAAAATTACTCTATTCGACGATTCTAAACCCTCTTGAAAAATATATTTAAACAACCGCAAACATCTTAATTTTTCGAAAAATTAAATAATCAATATTTTATTATTTTCCTTGAAAAATAATGGGGATTTGACAGAAATATTATCATAATGTTTTTTATAAGCAATATTTATATCTAGAATTAATGTTCCATACATTTTTACGCCAAGTACTATATGTTTGAAATAAGGTTTAAAAATGATAAAACTTCTATGTTTGGCTGTTTTCAACCCTCTTGGGGCACATGAAACGAGAAATCATCGCCAAATCGATGTTTTTGTTTTTATAATTGATCTAAAATAGTCATGGGTGCCAGTTTTATTACACTTAATTTGTCTAGGGGTATTTATATGTATTTAAAAATCGGGATTTTTCGTTCGTGAAAACATTACATTTTCACATATAAAGGGTCGTGGAAGGAATTAAAAGTTTAACTCCTCCCTAAAAATTACATCTTTGAAACTTACACCGTGCTTATGTTCAAAATATCACTTCTTCCTGATCAGTAAGGGTGTACAAGGATAACAAATAAACGCCCTCTTTTTTCGCAACAACGCGACGGTGAAATGCGCGTTTGACTAAAATGTTATCACATCCGCCTGTAAAACAAATGCAATATAGTATAGTTTTAATGCGCCTTTAAGTCGTACGCTAGAGAAATGCAATAGTGTAGTTGTTGCCTTTAATTTCGATAGTGAATTTAAACTTCGCCGTTATTGCGTCTGTGTTACAAATAACTGCAATGTAAACCTTAGGCTCATTCTTTCATAATATCTGTATTGTTTCCGTTGCTTATCCTATTGTTTATTATATCTAAGTACTTTCTTTGCCCGAATGGGCGTTAACGTACCTATAAGATGAAATTTTGACAAATTCGCGAGTTTAAGCGGATATGAATTAAATTGGATGGTGTACTAACACCGTATAAGTGCTCAAGTCGAATTTTCTCATATTTCTTATTAACGATTCGCATGCGATTTTGTGCTGCGTCTACTGGTACCGCTAGTTCGAACAAATGTAGGATCGTTATCAGGTTGTTCATCTATGCTTTTCGTCGCAATTCGCGGTACCTAATTAAATTTGTTTGCTGAGAAACGGCTCGAGTCAATCATTGTTCTTAGTGTAAAAGTTTTTGGACTTGAGCCCCTTTGCACAAACACGGTTCAATTACTGTGCACGTATGCCTCGTAAAACATAGGCGCGCCCGTCAGGGGCTGTTTGGGACTTTTTCTTTTTTTTTTCTCTCGATTTTTTTTCCGTTTCCGAGCTACGACATCGGCAACAATAACAATAATAATAGAATTTCGTCGTTTTTGTCTCGGGTCCGGGCGAAATATTTGACGGGGGTCAACCTAATAAATGCACTGCGTCATAAATGCACTGCGTAGTGACCGAGCCGTTTTCCGCGCAAACTTTAAAGCGGCGGCGGCGGACACGTCGTTTTATATATAAAATATAATAATGCATGTGTACCGCCGCCGCCACATGACGTCCCGCGCGAAATCGACAAAAACGGCGGCGGCGGCGGCGGCGGCATCATCGGTTGGCGGTCGGGACGGGGGCCCGCGAGGTATAATAATATCGTATGAAAAATCGTCTGCAGACAAGACGGTGTACGCGCGGCGCGAAAGCGTAAAACAAATGAACCCGTTCGGCGGCGGCGACGGCCGCGCGGGACGACGGCGTGCGCGCGCGCGCGCGCGGGGCGGCGAGGGTTTCGAGAGCGCGTGTGGCGGGACGACCGAGCGTCGGCGGCGGCAGGGGACGACGTGACGCGGGGCCGAAAGAGTCGGTAAAAAAAAAAAAAAAAAAAAACACCGTATACCGTGTGTGTATATACAATAATAATAATAATAATAATAATAATACGGTATGCGTCGCAGTATGCGCGTACCGCCGCCGTGGCGCAGTTGTGTACGCGGTACGGCGGCGTTCGGGGACGGGAGCGTCGTCGAGCGCAAGCGCCGCCCGAATGGGCCAGACGCGGCGGGGTAAAGCCCGCCCATTAGCCGGTATGGTGGCCGCCGCCGGTGCCGCCGCCGCCACCACCACTGCCGCCGCCGTCGCCGATCGGTTCCCATATATATCTCAAAGCCGGGGGGCTCAAACCGCGGATAGTCGACCTAATCTGAGGTCAATTTGTTAGCTTAACTTTAAAACTCCGCGCGCGGCCGGCTCTCGCGTATTATTATATTATATTATAATATTTCAACTATTATTATAATTATTATTAGTGTGTGTGTGTGTGTGCGTATAATATCGCGCGTCTTGTACGTTATAATTATATACGCGCGAACGTTCGTATAACATGCGCGTACTCGTATATTATTGTATTGTGTATTTTATACAATAATAATATAACTTTATACAATGCGATTCTACACGGTATGTGCGTATATTATATTAGTTTCGTAATAACAATAATAACAATTTAATTATTGTATAAATACACTTGAATTTTTTTTTTCTCTTTTCTAATCGCGTTTCGTGTAATGTGCGCGTGTGCGTGTGCGTGAAAATAATTATTGTATAATTTTTTTTACCTACTGGCGGCGTCTCCGTCGACTCTCCATCACATACCGACGACGACAGCGGCGCGACCGGATTTCGTTTGTTACGGTAAGTCGCGACGCGGTTTAAAAAACAAACACATCATTACATTAATGTCGAGAATTTTATAATTGAGTTTTTCGCGTATAACATACGATAAAAAACAATAATAACAATATATATATATATATATGTACATATATCGCGCACGGCGCGCGCAGTGCTCGCGGAGACGACGTTTTATATCGTTTTATAATCCCGAAAAATCCCACATAAACCCGCGAGATTCCCGAGGATTTTTCAGCGTAAACACAAACTCGCGGCGTGCGTAAGTTATCGCGTCGTAAATTCCCGCGTGGCCGGCGTGTCCGCGGTTCCGGCGTCGACGACACGCGCTCCGTACGTACCGCGCGCACTTTAAGTATTATTGTTATTATTGTTATTAATTTGCCGTTTTGTAACTGTCGCGTCGGCGGCGCGTACGCAGTAGAACACGCCGTCGTCGGGCCCGGGGCCCGTTCGCGGGTTTTTCGCCGGCCGCGGAACAGGACCGCGCGACTGCAACAACAGCATTACATTTCGACGTACCGCGCCGACACCGCGGATCGGAACAGCTAGACGTCCGGAATAGGTACAACGTATAATTCGTTTGCTATGGCATTAACCGCACGAGGTATGTAATTATATTATGCGTACGAACGTAGACGGGATTTTTTTAATTTTTTTTCTCGAAACCTTCCCGGCTATTATTTTGTATTTTACCAAAAAAAAAAACCGACCGAAATACGTAAAATATGAAAAATTATATTGAACGATTCTAAAATTCTTTTCGATTTTCTTGAAAGTTATGCGTCATTTTTTTTTATCGTACCATTCAAACGTTCAGTGAATAACTGTAGAAAACTGTGTTTTGAAAAAACGATTTTAAAGATTTTATGCCGCGATTTTAATCGCGAATAATCGATTCCGTGTAATAAATTGTTCATATTTTCAATTATATATATTTGATCTACTCAATAAATACTTTTAAGAGGATCGGTGATGACGGTGTCGATTTAAACCTAGCCAGACAAATTCGTAGGATTTTTCCTAAGTATATTTATTTATGTTCTATACCGTAAGATATGTTGGACATAAAATATTAAATATTTTACTGGAAATTGTGAACAAATGGATTGCAGTGTTTTTGAAAACCGTCTGACAATGCACTGAAATTGTTTTGCTCGTTATTTATGACGAGATTTTTATAGCATATCGATAAAGATAATTAAAATTTAAAAAATAATTCCGACTTTTGCATTCTAATAACTAGTAAAGAACTTACAGAATCATAATATGTTTTTAAAATTGGAATACACAAATCCGAACGGTTTTATCTGGGTTTTCGGTCTTAAATGTTATAGTTGTCCTTAGAAAGTAGCAGGATCGTTTTCCCTTTAAATAGATATCGGGTAGTATATAAATGAAAACGTATTGTTCTTAAGGTAACAATTAAAATGTAAAAAAAAAATGTTCAGCATTTTACAAAGTTCGAGCAATTTTGATAAACATTTTAAATCATCTTAACATAATTAAACAAAAACTCCTATATTATATCAATTTGTTTATTTAGAAAAAATTGACATTGATTTGATTTTTTTTGTAATTTTATCGATACTTTGAAAATGTTTTTTTCCGTCTTACAAACGCTCCACTACTTAGCAAATTTTCGTTCAGCAAAACCAATTTTGGATTATTAAATTGCATATTATTTATTTGTATATATTTTAAATTCTGAGTGTAGCAAAGATGTATTGGTTTTATAAAGATGTTTATTTTATTTTATTTTTACTATATACAAAAATTCTACCAATAATGGCGGAAATCTTGCTTCTTAATATATACGATATAGAGATGGTACTTTTAGGAAGGTCATTTTCCGATTTTCTCAAGAGTTTTCTCATTAAATGTGAAAAACCAAAAAAAAAAACTTAGGAAAAACAGAAAAATGTACGAAATATATTAGTTTATATTAATTATATTACGATTTTTATTTTCTGTGGACAACTTTTCTACCAGCGATTTTGCTCCGATTAAAATGATAGCACTTTTTTAAAAGAAAATCTAACTGGGGACTTCTTAAGAGAGGTTATTTTTTGATTAACTTAGGATTTTTTTTCAATGAATCGAAAAAACTAGGAAAAAATATGAGAAGAACGTAGAAAAAACGGGAAAATCGGATAAATATTAAATAAATATTATTAAAGAAATTGTAAAAAGTTATTTAATTATTTTACCGTAATATAACATATATATTGTTGACAAAGTATAACTATCAACTGAACTCCGCTCAGAATAGTTTTTTCGTTAGCAATGGTTTATCGTTGCTATCAGATATACATTAAATTCCCTTCTGTATCCTACCTTTCCAACTTCTCACCTACAACATTGACTGCACGCGTCCCCATTGTCATACCTTTTTTTTTACTGTCATACCTAGAGTACTGTTGTACTCTGGACTTGTACGTCGGTTTTATTGATTATTTTAATTTCTAATACGAGCGTGTGTATAATGTCATAAGTTATAAACGTTTATATCTCAGTAAATATCAGAAAAATATCACGTACCGTTATTACAGATAAATATTATTACCTTTAAGCTTGATAATAAGTGAAATCACTACACTATAATATTGAAACGAAAAGCACACAATATTGAGGTTCTGTCTGATGAAAATGTATATTAATGTGCGTTTTTATAAGACTGCAGAGACACCAATAAAAATGCTGCACTTATGCTTTACACGTAAAAATACATTTTTAAAAAAATGTGGACGATTTTTATCTGGTTTTCTATTGTCTAAAAAATCACGAAACCATAAATACTGAGAGGTTAGGTTAGGTTTAAACTAGGTTTTAAATTTATTGTCCATTTTATTTAATCGCACCGTCGTATAAGTACGACACTGCTTCATTAGAAATTTCCTACTTAGAACAAATAACGAAAAAATGGCAAATTCGCTCTCTAAATTCAAATAAATTGATGTTTTCAAAAAATCGCCAATCTGTGGCGATAATTTAAACGCATAGAGTCGTTTTGAAAAATTGA